GGAGATAGGAGTCTCACGGTCTCTCCTGCCCGGGCTGGCTTTGAACCGAGATCCTCAGATCTCAGCCTCCTGAGTAGCTAGGATTATAGGCGTGAGCTTCAGTTTTTGTGTTCAAAGCTAGGGCTCTAACATTTGAGCCACAGCTCTACTTAGGGCTTTTCTCATAGTTACCTGGACATAAGGTATCTCCTGGGCTTTCCTGCCTGGGCTGGTTTTGAACCACAGTCCTCAGATCTCAGCCTCAGATCTGAGCCCCCAGTTCCTGGCTGGGTCTTACCTATTTCTCCATGCCTAGAACACTATCCTCCTATTTTGTGTGAGATGCAGACCACTATACCCAGCTTCTACACGCCTGCAGTTCCCTAGAACCAAAATCCTTTTCATTCCAGTCGCCTGTGTTGCCAGAGTGACAGGTACACATCATCACACTCAGCTAGTTGTTGAGATGGGATCTTGTGAACTCAAGGGCTGGCCTTGAATTGCAATCCTTCCAATTTTAGCCTCTGTAGTAGCTAGGATTATATGTGTGAACTACTGCACCCAGCTTGGTTTGAGAACTGGTCTGGGATGATCCGTGAAGGTAGGCTTTGAGCCCTAAGTGAGCTGTTCAGCTTCCAGGTTTATTGGCTTTTTTTTTTTTTTTGGTTGGTCATGGGGCTTGAACTCTAGGCCTGGTGTGGTCCCTGAGCTCTTCAAGCTCAAGGCTAGTGCTCTACCACTTGAGCCACAGCACCACTTCTGGTTTTCTGAGTGGTTAATTAGAGAAGTCTCACAGACTTTCCTGAGAAGGTTGGCTTTGAACCTCGATCCTCAGATCTCAGCCTCCTGAGTAGCTAGAATTACAGGCGTGAGCCACCGGCATCCGCCTCTACTGGCTTTCTCACTGACAGGTAAGCCACTTACCCCACTATGAAATGGACATCAAAGTATCTACACCGCATGTAGAAACAACATAACACTGTGTCTATTATGTACTTGTTCAAAAAACGAAAGCCCTCTTTATCTTTACGTGTCTCACCCGAGGAACCCTTTCATAGGTATAGTGTCGTCATGGGGTAGGTGACACTTCTAAACCAAGGAAATAGTATCAAGGTACACTTAGTGAATTCTTACTTAGGAAGGCGTTTCAAGATCAAGCTGTTAATGCTAAAGTATGAAGACAAAGCCAATGACAACCCTACCTCATTTTATATACAACAGTGAACTACCCTCCCAAACAAGGTTTGTTCTGACCTTCCTTCACAGAGGCTGTCCGTCGCCTTGTTCTTTTTCTGCCTTTGTGATCTTCTTCTAGTATCTTATCATCAAAGCCAGTCAGCTCAATGGTTTCAGATTGACTTGTGGGTCCGGCCGAGAACCATTCTGGTTCTTCTTCAGTATATGAATCATTTCTTCTCCGCTCCCCAAAGATACGCTTACTATCCCCAAACTCTCTCTGAAAAAGCACAAAATAGCAACATTCTTAGTCAAAGCATTTGTATATTAATCAAGCTAAGAATGAAGTAGTGCTGGAGAGAAAAATGAAGAAATAATTTACAGACACGAAGCACACCATCTTTTCCCTCTGCGCACCCAGATCTACTTCTAGTCTAGTTCAGAGCACACACTGCATTCATCCAGGTTCTCAGACAATATAGTGGCGGGGAGGAAGCTAACATGGTGCTGGCAAGCATGGATGCAGCAAAAACCACCAACCCATCCAGTATAAATGACCTATCAAGTCCCCAAGCACGAGACACCAAAGAGTCCAGAAGACAAACCCTGAAACGCTTGTCCTTATAGTCCCTCTCTCGGTCTCGGTCTCTCAAATCACGCAGGTCCTTGTCACTGAGACGGTGGTCCTTCTCAAAGGTCCGGGCAGAGATTATCCTCCCACTGCCAATCCTTCGCCCGCCGAGCAGGCGAAGCCCATCACTGTCTTTCTCCAGTGGACTTCCTGAGCGTCGGGAGCTAACAGCAGCGGTCACGTGGCAGCCCCCGCCAAAGCTTCGTCTCTGTGGGCTGAGAACAACATCCAAGTCATCTTCTTTCACACGCTCTCGTGGATCTGAAAAGACGCCGGAGAGAAGTTAAGCAAACCCCAAGGATGATTTTTCTTCTCTAGGCTGCACATCCATGACTTGTAAGAGGAGGAGGATTGGAAAACTCAACAGTACAACTGAGCTTATTAACAGACTTAGAGTAACATGTATATGACATTGAAGACTGCCATTTTCTACTTGTTTTTCTCTCTGGCGTAATAAACATATTTCACAATAAATGATTTTTTTTTTGTCATTAGCCTCCTCAATGCCTTAAGAGTTTATCTGCATAAAACTTTAGCAGAGGGGCTGGGAAGGTGGCTCAGTGGTAGAACGCTTGCCTTGCATGCATGAGGCCCTGGGTTCGATTCCTCAGCACCACTTAAGCAAAAAGAAAAAAGCCGGAAGTGGCGCTGTGGCTCAAGTGGTAGAGTGCTAGCCTTGAGCTGAAGAGCTGAGGGACAGCACCCAGGCC